TGACCCTTCCCATTACATTAGGCTTCTTGTTTTCGTCTGCTGCTTGCATACAGTTAACTCTCCGTTAGCGGACGTCATTGGGATCAACATAAGTTAGCCTGCTAGGCTGAGCTCTTTACCCCTCTCTTTTGTTGGCTACACAGGTTAGGGTAGTGCCGATCACAACACAGTGGACCTAGGCTTTCAACAGCCTCATCAAAACCGGAAACCTGGAAACTTATCGTGCGTTCGGGAAACAGCAAAGATGCTCATAAACAGTCATTTAAGTCATATACCTCACCATAAGAGGTGTCTTTGTGATGTTTTCTTACTGTTTGGTGCCTTATAAATGACGTTTTAGCGAGTTTTGATGCTCTGATTCTGTCTGATACAGGAAACAGTATGTATATAGAAAACATCACAATGATAATCTTTTCTGAGGTAAACTTAGTATAGTAAGAACTGACCTATTTCTCTTGGGGGAATAATCCGTCTAAGACAAGTTACCCACCAATTCTAGATTTTTCCGGGATTTTGTGAAAATGGCACAAGTTTAGAAAAACCAGTGTCCTAACAGCATTAAGTGGTTCCCGCAGAACCAAAAAAATGCCAATCCGCTAAATAAACTCCCACAAAAATTTCCTACCACACGGTAGGCCAGCTATTAAAGCGCACAAAATGGATCAAAGGAGAGCGGAGTGCAATACAGTAATACAGCAGTATAGTCATTTCAATTTACCTTTTGAAAAGCAGATTGAAAAAGTAAGATATAACGTTGCCCTTACAACCCTGTGTAGACTGATGGCCATTAATATGTCTCCTGGAAGAAAATATTTAGAAATAATTTAGCAAGGGGTTTACCGACCTGTTTCAAACAGATATGCTGAGTGGATAACAGAGAGTTGTTTTATTAATGGCGATATTAGGGAGCTCAAGCAACGACGACGGCAAAGGCAACAAAAACGTCACCGGCAAAGTGAATTCGCGCTATGGTGCATTTCAAACTTCATCGCTCTCGGGTTATTTCAACTATGCGCTTTAATTTGTCAAATGTTGGCGATATTTCAGGGGTTGAATTCTAAAGGACTGTATCTAAGTTCACAAAAACAAAAAGAAAATCGTTGTGATGTGTTCACGTCTTCCATAAAACGTGAAATTAGGAAGTTTCACGTCGTAGTTGTGCAGTGACGGCAAAGTAATGTACAAAGAACTAAACTGTGATGCACGTGCAAAGTTGTTGCTTTGCCAGTCTCAACCTATTGCTTTTTTGCCGTTTTCGTTAACGTCGCCGTCGTCGTTGCTTATAAGCTCTCATTGTGTCAGAAAGCCATTCACCCAGTGGACCATGACACAGTTTTAAACAACATGAGAGAATGAACATTTAAAGAGGCTGTATCACGGTTTCCATGTTCATTTTGTTTTTAATGCCAGTTACGCGTCTTTGTTCGCTATCATGAACCTTGAGAAATTACATGTGAATGCCGGACAGAATCACAGCTTTGTGTCAAACAAAATATGTCTCGTAAGCATTATATCAAACGCCAAAAAGCCTTAAAAATTAACTTTTGAAAACTACTAGGTTAAAAAGTTTTCAAAAACCACAATTGCAATCCGTTTCAATCTTCCCCAGGTTTGTCCATCCTTGCCTCTTTTTCTATATAATTTTGCGAGTGATTATTTCATTATTTTAATGTTTCACTCAATTTGATGTCCGTCCCTCTGTTTGACTGATTTTGGTAAATTTCATAACACAGGCTACATCACCGAGTTTGCCCTCTACTTATGCTCCTCGCAGCTGACTGCGTCTGTTTAATTACTTGCCTTGTCTTGTTTAACTTTGGCGTCTATGCCTCATTTTTTATACGATTTCGGTTCGCGAACCCTTTACTTAAACAGTACATGGTCGTTTCACACAAGCGTAGGTTCACGAAACCTGCCGCTGGAAAAAGCTTTAAAGACATTGTGCGGCCCATTTCAGATCAGGAAACGCAAACATTAATTCTGGCTATACCTTATTTCTTTGAAGACAAAAAGCAGCCGATACGACTTAGTGTATGTGGTGCAAATTCTTCAGGGCTTCCTTCGATCGAAACTTTAAAAAGACCAATTTCGTATATTAATTCTACTTTCACCTGATTATAATTACCTTGAAATAAGTCAAGGATTCCCTTTTTTGTATACAAGAACCTCAACAAGCTAAATATTTTTCTAAGAATTCTTGCGGATAGAACCTCACCGTTTAAATTGAAATTGCACTTTGTAAGAGGCTTTTACTGAATAAAAATCTAGTTATTTAACTTTTCTTTTCAATGCACAATTATTTCGAGTCTATTGTTCTGCTAAACTGGCTTAATTACTAGATTACTGCACACAAACTTAATTGCTGTACTGTACGAGTGTTTGAAATACATTAGAGTGTAAAATTTATTTTCACAAATCACCCAGATAAGCGTCCAGTGAGTCTGTCTTATTCCTCTAGGGAATACGATGCTTCTTTGCAAACAGATAAGAAACGTTTCTAAAAGTTCACACAATATCTCACAACAGCTTCACATAATGTTGCGCGAAAAGTTCTGCCTTGTGAAACAGAACCTCGAAAATTGGGTACTAAATATTCAAATAACGAGGTGGTCGCCCAAGGGTTCCAATGTATCACTTTCAAAAGCGCATCCCTGCCTATCGGATGTCCGAAGTTCTCCCAACAAGGCCAAAACTTTTGGTATCTCTAACTGGGATATGTCCAACAGCATGTGTATTCGAATATGATTCTTCAATTCTGAGTCCTTCAATGACTTACAGCACAGCTCATGAATGGTCGCTCGAGATTCTGTGTTGAATGGGAGGGAGGCGCTTTGCTGGTCGTTCTGGTGTCGCTAGGGACTCAATCAATAGGTGCTCTGTTTGTGTGGACCTATCGTGCTTCTCCGTAATTGGTTCCTTGTGCGACAGGTTCATAAGTGTTCTCTGTGTGGAGCCCCATTCCTCCATTTCTGCACCCAAATGTGTTTCAAGGCTTACTGCGTTTCTGTAAAAGTAAAAAAGCAAAACCAAAATAGTATCACCATGAGGTTGCAGACTCCGTTGAAGTGGACACTAAATTGCAAAGAGGGCAGTTACAAAAAGTTATTGAAATTTGACTACATACTACAGATATCTGTGTAAAACATGTGCCTATCCAATTAAAAAAAAGGGCGCACGCCAGGATGCCGGGAAGATAAAATTACCGTTACTTTTAGTTGAAACTACCAAATGATCAGTTGATACCTAGGGTCGAATTCAGGCCTCCATATAAGCGTGTAAACAGACCCTCTGCTGATGGAAAAGCTACGAGCTCTGGATACGAGATTTGCGTTCTCTTCAGGATTTCTTTTTAAACATATTAAAGTACGATAAATTCTCCCAATTAAGAGATCAACGTGTGATCCTGGCCTCCATTTCTCTTACTTGACCCGTTTTCTAACTTTGACTAACCTGTTTGGACGACTCCTGAGCAGATAACGCCAGCAGTATAAGAAGATAAGTAAGAGAACAGTAAGCCAAGCGATAAACAGGATTAACAGGGCTATACACAGGTTTGTGAGTATCTCGTATTCATTTCTTGAACCGTTTGATCCTGAGTGGAAAAGAGAAGTGATCAATGTGTGATAAAAAATAAATTCTACAAAAGCTTTCCGCTACACCTATGGGGGATGCGGGAGGGAGAGAAAACTGCTCTAGTTGTAAACACAAGTTGTCTTCTAAAGCCGTAAATTCACTGAGTTTTATTTGGAAAAGGCAAGCTGTCAAGCGAAGCAACCCGGCATATCTATAAATTAGGCACAGTCAGCATCACAAAGGGACGTTAGTCAGGGGGCTTGTGGCTAGACACTGATCTTACTTACCTTCACAAAATGGTAAAGCGGCCAGACACAAGACTAAAACCAGCGTAACGAATGTAGAATTATCAAACATCATTGACAGTCATGCTGTAAGCAAAAACGTCCTTGGTGAAAAAAGACAATGTAATTACAGCCAATCTTATGTCTGGAAACAGTTTAGAAAGTGTCTTGACTCGCCAGCTCGTATAGAGCTTTACTGATTTCTGTGCATGTGTACATCAATACCGTAAGCAAGAGGACTTCACTACTACAAATTTGTTCATTAACGTAAGGTGGAATTAACATATCCTTTAATTTTGGTTAAAGTAAATGTTTTCATCATCCGATATATTGAAAATCAGTAGCCGAAACAGTTAAGCTAATTCACACGTCCGAATTACACACAATATATACTTTCATTTCTAGCGTTTCTGCTTCATTACGTATATAACTCCAACAAATCGTGCTTATACTCCTACCCCCTAACAAGGCTGCGATCATACCCTCCGCTTCATCTCTCTCTCCAGTTCCCTCTTTCCTCAAAAAGGGGAAAAAACCCCAGTTCGCTGGTTACCCTTACTTCAGAAGTCCTGCAAAAAGGACTCTGATGGCTTAAGACTAATGTTTGGTAAATATTCACCAAAGTCTTTCATTTAATTAAAATGAACTTACGTCGAGTTTTATTTCCCAAGAGGTCAACTGATATGATTATTGTCTTAAGCATCGTGAGAAAACATACATGCCGATAACTCGCTTTAATAAACCGTGTGTAACAATAATAATAATAATAATAATAATAATAATGATGATTGATGATAATGATAATGATAATAAAAATAAAATAAAAAATCGGACGCCTCCCCAAAGAAACTACAAAAGTCTCAACCGTACATTCACAACGTCAGTTTATTTTTCATCTCTACTTGTCTTTTAATATACTTGTTAAAAACATTATCTGAAATATAAAGAAACTGAAGCACAAACTCGTTTGAAAATCTTCACAGATAGTACGGAAGTGCGTCATACCTTCGATGTTCGGTGTAGAAAGATACCTTCTCCAGGTTTTATATGTTGCCAAATTCTAGGATGGAATTATATTAACACATATTTAATGGGAAATCATGTCGCATAACACAGTTGTTTACTGTGTAAGTGAAATGAATCGTCTACGGCAGTCCTCAGATCTGACATGGACCAGCTGGATGTAGGCATATTGATACTCGCTCCTGGGCGGAATGCAAAGAGGTCCATCTGAGTCCATTACGGGGTTTTATACCCAAGGCGCTATGTTCAAGCGAGTGGCAATGCTCTTTGCATAATGGACCAAACAAGAGCAGATATTTACGCGGAAATTTTCCGCGTTTTGAGATAAAAAGTCCTAATCGCTAACCACCATGAAAGTCACCCGATGTTAACTCCAAAAAAGTTCATCAGTTTATTGCTCTCTTCCCTGTCTGCCGTCTTCAGGTCTTCACTTCATAAACTAACCCCTTTCTCCTGTTTTTCAGCTGCTCATATTTCTTGCGCAGGGGATAAAACGTTTTGCTTTAATTAATTGTTTTTCCTGCAGATGGTGCAGTATTTTGTCTCTTCATTAATTATCTGTTATTCATGATCCTGTGCGGTGTCTCCCGGACAGTTGTCTGCTATGTCTTGATCATCTGAAATGAAATAGAAATGTGAAAGTGAATTGTGAGCCTGGTGACTACGAGAAAGATGTTTTTTAATCAATGACACAGGTGGCTCGGAAGAACTTATCTGAGTACTCCCAACTAGCCTGAGAGCAAGTTCTCCCAGGGCTCCCGAGGGTACTTTTTCGCACCGCCTCCAGAGCACCCCTGAAGAACTTGTTGCAGGCAATGAGCCTATGACATTCTGGTCCCAGGGGTGGGGGTACTCCGGATTTCAAATGACGGGATGATCGAATGGGGGCAAACATCAAAACCCAGAAACAATCCCTAGGGCTTCCAACAAAACCCCCAAAAACACTGGTCCAAAATTAACCCCTTAAAAAATCCCATGGTGAATTTCCAAGCTTCAAAAAGTTGCAAAACAAGTTTGGTTGTACTTTATTTGCAGAACTACGTGGCCCGGGGATACGCAGGCACCACCACAAATCTTCAGACTGTTTTGAATACCCCCCAAAATCCCTACTTAAATCAAGTCACCCAAAAAATACTTTACAAATTTCCCTACCACCAAAAAATCCCAGAATTGAAGATTTCAAACCCAAAAATATCTTTTAATCATCCCCGTCACTTGAAATCCGGAGTACCGCCCTCCCCCCTTCCCTGGGCATCTGGTTACTATGACTAGTCCAAATGCTCTACCACTAAGCGACCCGAGACTCGTGGGAGCTAAGGCAACAAACTAGGTTCGTGTGACAAACATCCTGTATCGTGAATGAACATCCTACTACTAGAATGTCGATATGTGCTAACACGCAACGTTTCTACCATTTTGTTCAAATTGAAGGATTCCTACCGTCAAATTTGGTGCCACACCATATACAGTACTGATGAGTTCGTCTGAGGTACATAGTGAGGTGGACAAGCTTTTCTGCTGGCTAACACACACACAAAAAAAATCAACAAATATATAAAAAAAGTTTATCAATATTAAATTAACCATGGCATGGGAATATGTTAATCACTAGCTTTTCAAATGCTACATCGTGAAAAGATTCCACCCTTTTCCTCAAGGCTGTTCTTTAAGGGAAACTGAACGGAGCCCAATGCTCTCAACCTGTAAAATCTAGAGTGGCCAGCATATGATTTGCACGAAAAAACTTAGATTTTCTGGTCACCCGTGAGCAAAAGTTAGGCGCCAGGGGCCACCGGGCTCTGCATGAATCCAGTCCTGTTCCTCCTTGGTAGATCCAAAAGTAATAACTCTTTACTGTGCTTTTCAAAAACACGCAAACTCTCAAGTTCAAAAGCTGCCTTCACAATTTAATGTGTTTTTCACTGACATTAATCAAAATTATGATCACACGCAACAAACTTTGAAACAAAATCAGATCGAAATCCACCAATCACAGATCACAAATCATGACCTTTTGAATCCATTTAAGTAAAGTTCTGTTTCCTAAGAGGTCCACTAAAATGATTGATGGCAGTGAAAAATGCAAACGTCAGTTGGCTTTTGAACTTCAGAGCGTGCATGTTTTTGAAAAGCGTAGTAACGGAATTTGCTAGAAAGCAGAGTCTAAAAATCAAAAGTAGACCCTCCTAGAAGTGAATAACATAATAAAAAGAAACACTGATTTTTTATGGCAGACCTCTGGTTCGTCCTCCTCATCATCATCATCATCATCTGCATCCTCCGTACCATCTTTTTCCTTCTCCTCTTCACTCTCCTCATTATCAGGTTTTGTCTCGGGCCAAAACCACTTTACAACACATGGCAAGTCCTGTAAACCAACAATAACTAAGAATATTAACTTATGATAACCAGCTCCCAGTTGGCTGGTTAACTCAATCATTAATTTTAGAGTGCTGCATCGGTATAATTGCCAAGGTCAAAGGTTTGACTCCTATTCAGGCTTTCCTTTTGCAACTGCAAATAAGTTGCATATACAATCGTAATAATCTTCTTTACATTTAACTCTTCACTCGGCAGTTGTAATATATAACATTGACCATTATCTAAAAAACCAACAAGATTATTACTGACATCTCAGCTTAACTGACAGACGACCAATAACATCAAGACATAATTGACCAATCAGATCAATAACCAGAGTACAATACCATCAACTGACGTGATACAACTCATTTTGACTCTGAAGATGACTACCGCACAGGTTGTTGAAACGTCAGTCACTGTCAACAACAACAGTCCTATTCAGGACTACGTTAACCCGGACGATCAAACTCAACCTACTTTTGATATTGGATATCTTGGCCTACAAGCAAGTAGCTCTCCTGGGTTGGGCGTGAGGGAGGGACAAGAGTGAGTCTTGGATACCTTAATGTTACTCTCCTAAGCTACTGCCTATTTTTTCTGAGAAAAACTTCACAAAAATTCAATCTAAAAAATTCAAGAAATGTGCTTCTATAGTAAGCATGAGTGAACTTAAAAACTTCAGGTGAATAAGCCTGCAGGAAGATATCTCCTATTTCCTTTCTTTCACATGGAAAGGGAACATCTGTGTAATAGAATCACTATCATAATACGGTAATAATAATATTTAATTGTTTTTTGGTACACATATACCTGTTTACCCAGGAACTTGGGAAAGTGTTTTAGTTGGTTGCCTGACAACACATTGTTAGTATCAACTATTGAGGATTTCCTTGAATAATCTATGAAAAATTAACTTTTGCAAGGTTTTGCCATTATAGATCTGTGACATTTACACAAGGGCTCCAGGTGATTAAAATGTTTTCCTTTAATTCTATGAAGAGCTGTAAAGCAACTTTTGTCAGACTTGATCTTTTTACCTTTGATCTATCCAATTGTTCACATGCTTTCTGACTCTTGTACAAGTCACTTGCTGTTTGTCTCTCTGCAAACTTTCCACTCATGTGTTGCCTGAAACTGTGTCTCTGATTCTCCTCGATCTTCATTCTTTTCTTTGCAACTTCATGTTTCAACACTTCTTTCACTTCTCTCTGTCTCTTTAAGAGCATATCATGACCAAGGCCTCCACGATCTTAATGAAGAAAAAATATATAAAAAAGAAAAAATGTGAAAAAGAGAAGCAGTCACCTTACCAACTCAAGCAGCAGAAAAAAATCAATACTTTGGTCAGGAGTTAAAAAACTGACCACTGCAAAAGATTTAACCCTTCATCTCATTGAGCTAATCAAGCCAACTGATGACATGATAAATAATATTGCAAACAGCAGAAGTAATTTTGGAAGACATAATGTTACAGACCTGCCTTTATAGACAATGGTATTGGTTCTGCTCTGCCAGTCCCTATGGGGAAAAAATGTTAAGACAGAGACACTATTAAAGGAAAAACAGTGATGTTGATTTTCAAAAACAACTGTGTTGTTGAGTGAGTGGCAGTGTGAAAGAGAAAAAATTTCGGAACAGTCCCATACATTTTTTAAAGTCAACATCTTTTTTTATAATTGTCCTGTTAATCTTCTCTAAAATCACACCTCTATGAGACAGGCAACTACAGTTGACTAAAACTAAAAGTTGTTACGGGTACAACATTGAGCCAGGGGATTGGGGAACGAAGCGAGAAGAGGTAACAAGTGGTAGCCTACCTACCACGTTTGACAACTATTGTATGCTCGAAATATTTATTTACGGCACTACATTTTAAGTTTTATTATTAAAAAATTAACTAATTATTAGTTTGAAGACAGTAATAAACCATACCGTCTTTTCCCAGACCCATTCCATGTTTAAAGCCCATTTTCTGCAGCATAGCAAATCCCTTGTTGCTGCTGTCCAAAGCACTCGCAAGACCTTGTTCTCTGTGTTCAGACTCACGTATTCGCATTGGTTTAATTTTGTTGCGTTCATTTAACTCGTTATGTTTTGACTCTTTTTTGTACTTTTTTGCTATCTTATCTGGAACTAATCCTGGGGCATTTTGCGCTTCGCCAAGCAGAAATTTATCCGACATGTAGTCTTCTTCATCTTCGTCCGCCATCTTTGAATCTTGGGAGCAATGTCGTTACCAGTCTTTTTCAGACACTTTTTGAATGATTCAGCCCCTGCCCCACCCCCACCCCCACCTAACAACAAGAAGAGGAGATAAGATTTTAACGAAAGATAATAAGTTGATCTCTATTTTAGTGGAAGACTGTGACAAGAAGTCCTGTTTAATTCGCTGACCTAAGCCCAAAGGGTAGAAAAATATTCGCAAGAATTGGGGGAGGGGAGGCCAGAGTCACTTGGGAGCAATTACACAACAGACGTGTACATTACAGTGAAGCAAATGCTGGTGAAATGCAAATTCTGGGATGGTTTTGTTTATATTTAGCTTGAGCGAGTAGACCCTGAAAAGCCTTGCTTTTCTGAGCTTTTGTTTGACTAAATCAGTCACAATTCCTTATTGTTTGAAAATTTGGTAATTATAACCTCCCTGACGGCTTCCCGTCAAGTAGATTGGATTGAGATCATATTACAAATGCGGGAAAGAGGAGCAAGCAGAGTGCATGATGTCTTGTAGAGCGGAGCACGAGTTTATTCTGGCTGATTCCTCCACAAAATTCTTCGCATTTCGACCCAGCCTGAATTCATTTTGAGGTAGGCACTTGAGAAATAATTTTGGACACATAGGCGCCAAATTGTTTAAGAGACCACATGAATGTTTTGCTTTCAATTATTTATCGAGAATGTGAGTTACTCAATCTTAGTGGCTTCCAGTGTGCATGTGGCAACATCATGGCCAGTTCATGCGTTTAGGTTGGGTTTGTTACATGTGTCATTTCTTTCCTGCAAAGCATCGGGATACATTTTTCTCTCTTATATATAATGCATTCGAAATAATACGTAATTTGAATATTCACTTTATTTTGAAAGGTGCTTTTAATATTTCAAAAATGTAACGAAATATAATTTCAGTGGATACCCCAAAGTTGCTATTTTTATCTCGCACATGAAATCCGTACGTGACAAGTGAATCAGGGAGATCGGAAATTGTGGTTCCATTCGACCGTTCTTTAGCGATTCCGTTTCTAAACATTTCAGGAAGGCTAAGATATTTTGCCGGAACAATCTCGAGCTTCATTCGCCGGCAATGCATACAAGTTCATTCAACATCCGCCCGATAACAATCTTTTACCGGACCGGAGGTTAATTCAAAACCCCCTTATAAAATGCTCTTTTGTTTTCCTGAAGCTATCGATATGTTTTTAATGTACAATGATCTGCTAGCCTGTCTTCGTATTGACTTTATAAATCTCTTTACTTCTGTAGAAAAATATAATAGGTAAATAATTACGAACGTTTCATATTTTATGCCCGATTTCGCACATAGGTCCATACATCGTTCGTCCAACTGCAGAAACTACCATGGCCCCTGAAGTAAAATCCAAAGCAAAGCGGACTTCGGGTCAAACGATGCGTTTGAGGAAAAAGCGCTGGTTTCCATCAGGAATAAAGGCTGACAGTAAATATGTTGGTGAGTCTTATTTGTATTCTTAGGTCCTCAAAAAATATATCCTGTTTCTGTAGTAACGGATGATAACAAGCGGTCAAGTTTAAAGAAACTTAAGTGGTTTCCAGAGAGGCAGATCCCACGCAGACCATTACATAAATTACACCATTATACATTCAATGTAGTTCAAGGTTATGACGAATGGTCAGAGCAATGGGGTTCAGATCTGACCGGAGTGGTTTCTGTGCTCTTCAGCCGTGTTTTAAAACTGCGATCATGCCCTTTCTCCTTCCCCTATTTCTCCCATCTTACATCCAGCTGCATGCAGTGGTTTTACTTGCAACTTCATGCTTAGAGCCACTAGCACAGGAAGACCAGTTTTATCAGTATCAAAAGGTTTGCATAATAGTGGTTGTTTCTCTAAGGCAGTCCCAGCTCATGACTGTCAACTCTCCAAAGGACGTCCCTTTTATCTCACTGACCTCACTGCAGTTTCTTGTTTTGAGGGCTAGAGTAAACACAGTTGCAATCTTGAGTTTCATCAAAAATTGAAACCATTAATAGGCAATATATCAAGTAATCTGTCCAACTGATTCCCCTGACAAAATGTACTCGTTCCTTGCATAGCACTGTTCAGCCTAAGTGCAAGTTTGACAAGATTTGTGGGGGATAGGAGGAAGGGTAGAATGCCCTAAATTCTTTTCAAGAAGAGGGAGCCCCTTTTCATTCCAGCAGCAAGCAGATCAGATTAACGCACTTGAACTTGGATATTTTTGTACCTGCTTCCTTGGGGGCTAAGATGCCTGAGGCAAGATAACCCCTCAGGGTGCTCTATGTTCTCTAATGGGCCAACTTGCTTCATTCACTCTCCCACAAATCAATCCTACTTATCCTGAACTCATGCAAAAACAACAAGAATTTGCCAGCATTCAATAGTTGGCAGAAAGAAAGAAGGGAACTTGTCCACCATGTTTATGTGAGCCTCCAACTAAAAAGTGAATTCAGAAATACAGATCGGAAAATATTAGCTTTTCTATACTGACATCAGCGTAGACGATTTGTATTCGTATTTTGATCATTGAACTGAACAGTTTTATGAATTTATTTCATTGTTCTCCTCATGATTTCAACTGAATGCACCATTTTCATATTTCCTGTAATACATCTTGTACACCTCCCCCCGCTCCCTTCCCGCAAAAACAGGATAACCCTCCTGGGTATTACAGTTGTCCCAAGAGAGATTCAAGACAAAGCCAAGCGTATGCAAAATTGTGGGGGAAAGAACAAGGTGCATTATGGACAATGTGAAAATAGTGAATTTAAGACTTTTGGGAGGTTCTATGCCCTTAGATGTAACCTGAGATCAGCCAAATTTTTTACACCATATAAAAACGCACCTTGCTGAACCTGTCCACGTGCGTTTCACACAATACAAGAATGGCGTGATTTGTACTTTGTGGGGTTATCATCTCAGAGCGCTTTTGGCCGGCATGGAAGTCTGAATGTTGATTAGCAGGCACGTTTCACCAAGAGAGGCTCACTTGCTTGCACGTTTCGCTGAGACAAAGCTATTGACTGATATATAGACACTCGTGAAGGATGGTGTTCTTAGAGATGAAATTCACGGACGTTTCCGTAACAAACTTCTTTACAACATTTTTTTGCTGTAGTATACTTATAAACTCAAGTAACTTAAAAGTAACCTTGTAGAAAAAAAAGAGGCTTTCTTTGCCTTATAATGTAACGAGTCCAGCGAAAAATTATAGGACAGCCTCTTTTCTCTTTCGTCATCAAGCACAGAAGAACGACGTGATGGAATTGTTGAGTTGTTGATTAGGGTTCATGTAATATTGATTACACGTCATAAACTTTTCATCTATCTTGGCCACCCAAAGCTGTGCTGTCGTTTTGGTTTTTGGTTTCTAAATGGGACTTTATAAAACTGACAGCGATTTCATAAAAGATTGTGCATCATCTTTCTGCATTGCTCTTTTTTTCCTGATTGAATAGACACTTAAAATTCCTGCACAACTCGCCGGTGAAATTTCCGGAATAAGATGAGCTAGAACACCGGAATGGATGGTGTCAACTCTTATGATGGGCTAAATGTTTAGTGCACAAAGTCTGACCGCAGAGTATGACCTTTACTCTTGATGTCAATCGTCAAACACCATGATCATGAAGGAGTTGTTCAAAAATGAAAAGTCGAGTGGACATTATCCCCCGGACTAAATCACTACTTACTGGATAACGCAATTGGTTCTCAATACTTATTTATTTAGCTTGACCAACTTTGGGCTCGTAACAGTCCCCCCCCCCCCTCCCCCTCCTCAACCTTATCCGCTGGATAGCGATTTATCCAGTGTTTAGTTCTGTCCAACTCTTTTATTTACTGGCGCGCCGCCAGTGTGTAAAACATTATTTTCCCGAGGTATGACGGTGAATAAAGTATCGTTCAGTTTTTTACGTTACTGGAAACTCTTCTATCTCCCTTATTTGGAATGACAACTGGGGCCAAGAGAAGACATGTACAAGTGAATGTCGTCGGTCTAAATCCTATGGTGTGAACATTTCAGACATTCAAATAAAACGTTCACCAGAGTCTCAGGATGAAATCCTATGCTATTGCCATTCAAATGAAAGCTCTTCAGCAGTATTTTGACAGAGCACTATTTGTGTAGTACTTAGTTGTAACTTTTGAATCTGTAGATAAAATTTTGTGGTGTGACTCATTTCCAGTGGAAATGGCACCTCTTTTACGGCGCATTTACTCGATACTTTTGGTTTGCCTCATGATTTTACAAAATGAAATTTCGGATTTTTTATCAATTTGGATGTTGACCAAATTAAAAGCTGAGTTTACGCAAGTTTTCGAGGCACATTTTCAACATGTCTTTCACTTGCATTCTTCCTAGTACCAACGGATTGAATTAATATATGATCTCACAAACTTTATAATGACGTAGCTTTCTAATAAGTGTTTAATTTTTAGAAGTTTAATTAAACTTCTTCGAAAGTTCTAAAGAACGTCCTTCTCTCATAGTAATTTTTGGAGCAATGGGGTAAAGAAATTATAGTGTGCATTTGCGTTTTCCTTGACTTTTATAAATGTCATCAAAGGTTTTTCCTTGTTCGGATGCTAACAAAGTCTCTAGTCGTAACTTATCCATACTGACCATGGATGCAGGTAAGCCACTTGATAAACTATAAAAAGGTGCAATACGTAAGATTTTTTTGGTTTGTTTTCTTGACTTAAAAATACGGACAGGATGAGTCGCTGCAAACAGTGATTTGTTCGGTATTCGACGCAGTAAAGGTGAAACTGCCTCTTTTCTTTCAACTCTAAACAAATGTTATGCCCGAGAGGTGATGATTCTTCGCTCCGCGTATTGGTCAAACAATTTTGCCAAAATTATATTTCTATTCCTTTTTCAAAAAAAGAATGCTTTAGATCAACATGTAAAATATTACAGCAAAAAGTTAAGCATAATAATTTTGTATGCGAACCTTTTTTGTTTATTATCATGTTCAGCCATCTCAAATTCAAG